AGTCTGAACTGCGCATGCCCGTATCCAAGGTCAGTTGACATAATGTTGCGTGCATGTGGTTCATGTTTGTTCATGTTCAAGTTCGATGTATTTTGCCATTTGTTAAAAGCCTGTCTCTTATACACATCTAGATGTGTATAAGAGACCCCTTGACCCTCAGATTAAAAGTCTGATGCTCTACCGACTGAGTTAACCAGGATACTTATTATTGAATATTTACATTTCATATAACGAATCCAGTAGAACTAATTTACCATGAAATACAAAAGTAAAGTTTACTTACCGCACATTTCTTGTTACAGGCTTTTGTTTTGGAGTGACTGTGGTGATATACCAAAGATTGAACGAGCTAATCTAGATGGTACAAATCGAACAAGCCTCATTACCACTGGTATTAAGTCACCTAATGGGCTCTCAGTCGATTATGTAGAGAACAGGTAATTACAGGTCTCCTTCCAGTTTACGACCACTTTTGGGACCGGCGTTTCCATGTTCTTTTGCAACTTTGGTCTGTAATTAGAATAATTAAGATAAAAGCATAGTTTATTTGGGACTACAGGAAAGTGATCTTTAAATGAAGGTTGTCTTTTAATTGGAGGGGTCTTTAATTGGAGGGAGACCTGTACCATTTTTTAATCATTTTTGGTTTCTTCATAAACAAGTTCTCGTAATCTCGAAGGCTCCGATGAGGGCAGTTTAATAGAGTGAGTAGAATATATTAGCCGTAACATCAGGCCATACAAAATTATATGTATTAGGGCAAAATAAAAAAAATATACTTGTTAAGCGTCACAGCCTCTGAAAATTTCAGGGGCAGGGGGAAGATGTTTTTCCTCAATGATATAATTATATTTCGGCACGGTTGTCGACTTCAGTTTGCGTCATTGTTTTGCTTGATAAAATGAAAGTTTACAAGTGAGTCAGTACATCTTTTTTATAGTTGAAAGAAGACTGTTCCATAACGACTGAATGTAACAATCCATTTTAAAGCAATGAATGTTCCCTTTATTATACAAATATAAAACATTCATTATTAGTTGTATAATACACCTAAAGTAATTTGTTGTCATTTGATCTTTCATGAAAAAAATAAACTTGGTATAAGCCTACGTTTCTTCCAAATGGCACAGTACACATTTCAACGAATGAAATGGGTAAACATCAGGTGTTTACAATAGGTCGAGGCGTGAAGGTGACAAACATATGAAAATGGTTGTAAATTACATCAAATATTTAATAGTTCTGCCATTTATTAGTCTGAACTGCGCATGCCCGTATCCAAGGTCAGTTGACATAATGTTGCGTGCATGTGGTTCATGTTTGTTCATGTTCAAGTTCGATGTATTTTGCCATTTGTTAAAAGCATTGGAATTTCATAATATGATGGTCGCTTAAATTACAAAAAAACAATCACAAATCAACCAGGAAAAAATTAATTGTTCATTTAACATCCTGATATCTGCAGGATAAAAGCTTTTTGATCGATTGACCCTGATGTGGACATGCTCAGTTCACACTACAAAATGGCTTACTAAATGAAAGGATATATTCAATTAATACGTATTTTTGCCAGAATAAAGAAATTCAAAAACGTTTCGGCCATAGGCTTTCATCATTTAGGTGTGGAGTATGCAGACCTGTAGACGATAAAGAAATATTTATGTAAGATAAGTACACATACAATGACGTAAGATAAATACACACAAAGAAAGTAATGGAACAAGGATTAGGGAATCCACATCTGACGGATTTCGAAAACTTCGTGAATGTCTTTAATAATAATAATAATAATCATTATTCATTGGAACTTCTCTTTTAATACAGAGGCACACGTTAGACAAAACCGTGTGTCTACAACTCCCAAAAAAACATTTAAAAAATGTACAGGTAAATCGTAAGTAACATTGATACGGTAAAATAGGTTAAGATCGGAAGTTTGATAAAATAGAATATTGAAATAAAACATTCAAATAAGCAAAATAAAATTGCATGTGTTTTCATCAACATCAGGTATTATGGGAATGGTGAAACAGTGTGGTTAATTAAATATTTAAAATGACGTAGCTTGGTTTATGCCCCAACATAATTACCAACCGTCTCGCACCGTGCGGGACGGTCCCGCATTTCAAGGTGATTTTGGATGAAACACGCATATTTTGCCGAAACACATGCGTGATCATACATTTGTCACGCATTTAGCGCAAGTCTGTGCGTGATAACGAATTCAGGGGAAAATGTATTTAAAATTAGAAGAAATTGGTTTTATTAAATATATAAAGAAGATCATGCAGTTCTTGAGTCAATAGAGAGATTTCGTTACCTCGTTCGAAAATCAATTCAGCAGGGAAATTGCTCTTTCCCACCAAAACAAATCAAGTCGCGTGCGGCTTTGCGCGTTCATTGTCACAACAAACCGTCGATGTGACTGGAACCGGCCTACACCGGTCTTCCGCCCTGGAAACCGGGGCCCTGCTCCCTCCCACCACTGGTGTAGTCACGCATTTCAAATCTCTCAGGTTGGTAACTATGCCCCAAGCAAGTGAAAATGGTCCTGCCTGAACTGAATGTCCTATTATCATTTCTGCATTTCTGCGTTGTATGTTAGGAAAAAAATTATATACAGTATTCGACAAACTTTGCAACTCCTCTATGCTTTGAGATGAAATTAACTTGCGCGCGTTTTGCTCGGTTTTTTTTCAGACTTTATTGGACGAACGTCGATGACTCGTTTTCCAAGGTAGAGTCATGTGACCTCGATGGGAGTAATCGACGCGTTCTTTTCTCACAATCTAGTTTAACGGCGCAATTCTTTAAGTTGAAAGTTCACAAGGTAAACTTTCAATATTTTTTCTTCTTTATACTGGGTATCCTGTTTAGTACATATCTAGGCCTACTGTTCACCCAGAGGGGGCCCAGTTATGCTTTAAAGCCCCATTCCCGGCAAAATTTCAATTTTTTTTTAAAATCTAATTTTTGTATAATGTTATAAAGATTTATAAATATAATACGGAATTGCTAGTTTAACTGAATTTAGACATTCCTAAGAATGA